ATAAAAAAAAAAAAAAAAAAAAAAAAAAAGACTTATGTTTTTACTAAATTCATAACAGAATGTACTTTTCATTTAATGATCTAAATACGAGTATTATGAATTGTTTTATTCCAAAGGAATGCCTTCGTATTCATTATACCCGAGAGCGAGGTTTATATTCTGAATTATAAAAATCAAGTTAGTTTTACAAGAAATGTGAAAACAATAGACAATACAAGATAATTTGTCATAAAACAAACCTGCAAAGCTTGAGTAGCAGCACCTTTTAATAAGTTATCAATAGTTGTTATGACAATAACTCTTTTACCTGATGAATGTACACCGAATCCACCAATTTTCACAAAATGTTTTTTAGAGATATCTCTTACAAGTGGTACATCGTCTACAACTTTGATAAGTTTTTCTCCAGCATATTTTTGTTCATATAATTCGCGTATTTCCGCAGATTTGAAAGATTTTGAGAGTGGAATATTAACAGTCAAGGTTATTCCTTGGAAGAAAGGTGCGACGTGTGGGATGAAATTTACGGTTCTTCCCAAATGATATGAAATTTCGCGTTCATGAATATGATCTGTGAGAGAATATGGTATCATATTGTTTTCGAGAAATTTAGGATCATTTTTAGGAGATGGTTTGGTTCCAGCACCAGAATAACCAGATACACCAAAAACGGTAGGGGTCTCGGATATGTATGGTAACAAGGGAGCTATAGAAAGTTGAGAACCAGTAGCATAACACCCAGGATTTGAGATTTTTTTGGTTTGACGAAAAGATTCTCGATTTTTACTAAGTTCTATATAAAATTATTAAAATTTAGAAATAATAAAGGATTTAGAAAATAAATAAATTTTCATTTCTTACCGGGTAAACCGTATGTCCATTCACTGTTGAATCTATAATCGGCACTTAAATCTATAATTAAACTTTTATCTACTTGACCTTCATTAATAGCTTGCACAAATGGCGTACATACACCGTTTGGCAAAGCCATAACCCAACAATCAACTTCACCATTTTTCTGCATTTCTTTCATTTGTTCCGCTTTCAAATTTACATATTTAATCTTTTCTTTAGAATATCCAGAGAGCTCTTGACCTTCCAATTCACGAGAAGACACATGAGACAATGAGATATGTGGATGATTGTTTAACAATGACACAAAATTTTGGCCAGTGTAGCCGCGTGCACCAATAAGAGCAACTTTTGATGATGTGGAGGTAGTATATTGACGGCGTAATAGGCTTGATATTGAAAATGTATTATTCTTATTATATTGATTATATTGATTATATCGTGCAAAAGTGGAAAAACTTCTGGAGACATTAGCGAATGCTCGACCTGAAGATGATGATTGAGCCGTATTTGTGTTGGGTAGCGTAGCAACAAAATCTTTAATCGCAGCGGAAACTTCTTCAACATTTATGCCATACCAAAACAATGTTTTTCCATTTATTGTATAACTACCATCTGATCTAGAAAAGTGCCAAGACTTATTTTCATCATGATCATCAATAGCCCAAAGTAATCGAGGATTATCCTTTTGAATAATATTCCATACATTATCAATTACATTATTGAGTACACTATTCTTTGTAGCGACGAATTTCTCAAGGAAAGGAATAGCATTTGGGTTAGTTTTTTCTTGGGTTACAATCGCCAAGACGTCATAAGGTTCATCGCTGTAGACTTTATAAGATTTTTTGGAAAGGTTTGATACAAAATCTGAATTTGGGTTTATTTGCAATCTCTTTTGCAATTTATTTTTATCCATTTCATCTAAGGAGTTAAACTTAAAAAGGCGATAACCACGACGAATTAAAGTTCCAGCTCCACTATCTGTGAAAAGTTCCTTCGGAAGTTGTTCTACAGCTGTGATTGCTACAGAAGATGTTCGAGGAAGATGATCAAGAAGGTCTTTGATCTCTTTCAATTTCAATCGCGTTCCATGTTTGACCCACGGTTGTGCCATATAATGATCATATTCCTGAAAGAATAATCCATAAAATCATAAGTCTTTTTTTTTTTTTTTTTTTTTTTTTTAATGATAAAAAAAAAATGTAAAAATACCTCATCAATATTTATTGAATCAATTTTTTTTTTAGTTTCTTCATTTATAAGTCCACCTTTTTCACTAAGGAAAATAATTTTTAATGGTTCGAGAACCTTTGCCAATTCCCCAGCAGCCACATCAGCATTTACATTCAATATTTGTCCAGAAGGAGTTTCAGCCAAGCTTGTCAAGATAGGTAACGCACCTGCCTTGATACTAGCATTTACGACATTTTTATTTATTCCAGTAATTTGTCCAACATAGCCGTAATCTTCACGACCCAAATAATCAGCGATGAATACACCACCTGTTATAGGCCGTGCACGAGTTCCTAAATTTTCTAATGCTTCAACCAATTTAAGATTTTCTTGTATAAATATGGATCTTGCGATTTCAAGAGTTTTTGCATCAGTTATTCGAATACCATTTTTATATTTAGGTTCTATTCCAGCCTTTGCTAATTCTATATTGAGTTGTGGACCACCCCCGTGTAATACAATGGGATATAGCCCAACACGGTTTAGAAACGAAAGTGAAGAGGCAAGAGAATCTATTTCATTACTAATAACAGCACCACCAACTTTTATTACGGCAAATTTTTGAGATTCAACTGATGAAAATTGACGGAGATATTGTTCAGCTTCTTTTTTCGAACCAATATTATATAAAAGTCTTATAATTGTTTCCTAAAAAAAAAAAAAAAGAAAAAAAAAAAATATAGATATATTTATGTATGTATATGTATGTATGTAAAAATAATCAAACCTTTTCATTTTTTTGCACGTCCAGAGAATATAAACGACTTTGTTGTTTTGTAAGTTTTACGAGAGATTTCTTTTGTCGTTGTAGGGTAGGCAAAAAACCCAAACGCCTTGCATTGAACGAAACTGATTTTGAAAGTACAGATTTACCAACTTTCGATATTATCATGATTAAATTTTTTAAGGATAAAAAATTTAAAGTGAAAAATAAGAGAAAACGGGATAATTTTGTACATAGTAAGTTTGGACGAACTTTTATTGTTTATAGGCGAGATTGATAACGATAAAATAGATGGCAAATAAAGCAATTTATAATATAGATAATAAAGTAATTACAGTACACGATAAGGCAATTTAAGATATAGATTTATGTAATGTTTACATGCAGCATTAAGATCTTGATAATCATGCACGAATTTTGATCAAAGTTTATTTAATTTTAGCCTTTTTCTTTTGTGGAACAATCACAATGGATTCGTCAATCTCAGAATTTTTTTCGACCTTTTTCTTTTTTCCCGAGGACTTTGAAATTTCATTTTCGTTCATACCAAGGCTTTTCACAAAACTTTTTGGAATATTTGCATCGGCCAATGTTTGCTTACCAATAAGCTCATATAGAAGAGCGATTTCCTTTTTATAAATTTCAAAGTCATCGTCAGGTACGGGAGTCTCTAGAATTAAAGGTATTTCATCCATACGACTATCATTCATAATTAATCGAAAAGGTTCCAAACCCAAATAACCTTTGAATTTATAAAAATTTTTGATTGATTACTTTGGAGAATTTATAAAAAATGATGGTTCTTGAAAAAAAATACCTCACCTTTACCAATGTTTGCATGTCGATCACGACGAGAACCTAGTTCCTTGAGAGAATCATTCAAATGCATACCTCTTAAATATTGGAAACCAACATGACGAGAGAATTCGGTCATAGTTTCTTCATATCTTTCCTTTGTGCGAAGATCATACCCCTAATTCGGTAATTTGATGTGAATATTTGATGATAAACATTTGTGAAAATTAATTATATAATACCTACCGCAGAAAACGCATGGCATGTATCAATACACACACCAATACGTTTCTTATCTTATAATCATAAAATTAATTATAATGTTGTAGGGAATATTATATTCAGGAATATTTATAAATGTAATTAACATTGATACATACTTTTGACCAGTGAAATGATTTTACCAAGTTCTTCAAATTTTGATCCCACGGAATTCCCAGCACCCGCCTGAAGTGTTGTCATTTAATTTTATTACCGTATTAATATTATAAAATAAATTTATAAATTTTGATAAAATTGGCTTACCATATTTTCAACTACACAAATGACACTTTTTGTCGCATCGTGTGCTCTATTAATACAACCAGCGATATGTTGTATAGATTCCTCTAGCGTACATTGTCCAACAGTTGAACCTGGACTTTAGAAAAGTTATAACATTACCAAAAATATATAAATTCAAAATTTAATTACTGTATACTTACTGAAAATTATACAAAGTTAGTCCCAAGATTTCACATCTTTTTAAATCTTCAAGAAAAGCTTGATAACTTTTTTAACGCTTTTCTTGATCAGGATTACCCAGATTGATTAGATAACTTCCATGAGGTAGCACAGAACCAGATGGATACATATTCTCGTCACAACCTTCACGAAACATGGAAACATGTTCAGGATCAAGAGGTTGAGCATCCCATCTACGTTGATTTCGTAGGAAAATGGCAAATGCATTTGCTCTTTAATACAGTAAGAAGCAAAAGGATTAAAAAAAAATCGTAATCTTGATTATCAATTCGTAAAAAAAACCTACCCAATGGATAAACTATATTGTATAGCATTATGAATTCCTCCTGAAATGCTAACGTGAGCACCAACCAATTTCTTAGTACCCGAAACCCTTGGCGCGTAAATTATTTCATGTTTTCTTTCACGAACTTTTTTTTTTGGTTTTTGAGAATCCATATCCTTGTTCTTATTGTTTTCACGTTTTTTATTTTCAACCTTAAGTCCATTTTCCTGTTTTACAGTCTCAATAGAAATGTCACGATCTTTAGTAGTTTCCTTCTTAATCGCCTTTGTCACGTCTTGATCAGAAGCTTTTTCAGCGAGCTTCTTAATGGTTATTGGTTTCGTTTCTGCAGACTTTAGAAGTGCAGAGACGCGTGCTGAACGACGTACATATGACATTTTAGGAGATAGGCATTTCGTGAGAATTCAATATACCGTGATATATACAGTACTATCTATTTTATCGCGTGACTAATAAATACATGTGTCGTTTTTTTTTTTACGTTGTCACGTTAAAAAATTGATGCCGCAGTCATGTATGCTCATAAATGTGTATGATCTGCGAGACAAGGTAAAACATGTATCGCGTTATTTTAGAGAACCAAGCGATCATATTTTGATGGTTCGCCTTGTTGTAAAAGATTAATGAACTAATATTAGATAAAATTAAAACACACCAACGATAATTTAAAGACCGGTATATTACTTTTTCTGAATCATGTAAATATAGACTTTGTATTTGCTTTATTCTTGTATTCAGACTTTGCTCTCACTTAATTATCTTAATAGTAAAGATATTATTACGACTACTTGTATCCTCATATACATTTAGTTGTTGCCTCTTTCGATAAAGTCTTATAAATCCTCTTTGTTAAGTCATATATTTGACGTCTCTTTTATTCTTCATACTATAACCGTCGTGTCCCTTGAATTCTGTTAAGAGGTGAATTTCTAGAGTGACAATGTATAAATAGTGATAATGCTTCCTGAAAATTTACAAATAACAGTATTTCCTACAAAATCACTAATCAAATATCAAGAATCCATTATTCATCAAATAGAAACGATGGAACGTAAAACGTTTCCTAAAAATGAAATTATGGCAATTAAAGAAGAAATAGCAAAAAAAACCAATACATTGTTAATTACATATAATTTATCCACAGAAAACGAAAAGCAGAATTTTGAAAATAATAAATCTAATAAAAAAAAAAAAGAATCATCTGAACGCAAAAAAAATGATGTTTCCAAAAAAGTTATAAAAATCTTCGGATATCTCATATATTCGCATATTTCTTTATCTACTTCACCCGTAACAAGAATATTAAAATTATGCATTCATCCATCATCAAGAAGGAATGGCTTGGGAAGAATGTTGTTGGAATATGCCATTAAAAAAACAGGTGTACCTCAAAAATCAAGAGCAGACTTATATGTAGACACGGAAAGGTTGAATGCTATTAGTCTGTATCAAAAGGTGGGGTTTAAGATTAAAGATCAAGTAAAAGACTATTATGAAATTGGAAGAGATGCATGGCTTATGGAACTGCTATAAAATTCTGACTGCTCATTATTTTTACGAACGTCACAATCGTTACAATCATTACGATCGTTACAATAGATAGCATTATTATTATACTGTTTCATTGTTTCTTGTTCTTTTGATTTGAGCAAAAGATACTTTATTTATATACTTTATTTATATATAGCACAATTCTGTCTTATAATTTATTAAGTATAGAAAAAAATATTATTATGTATAATTTGTTGTAAATAATTTTAATTACAATTTGGCTTTAGGACCTGTCAAACTCTTTAATACGCCATCTAATTTAGTGGCCAACATCATATTGCCCTTGATCTTGAGTTTACTCGACAAGAAAGCCTTTTGACCTAAATAAAACATAATTATGAATTTATAAAAACACCATAAAAATCTAATAAAAAATTACGTATATAGAAAAATTATTAATTTACCATTCAATTTCCCTGAAGCTAATTGTACAAAAGTGTCATCATCCATTTCCATAATGATATCGGGTTTAGCAGAACCTTTTCCCGTTTGAATAGAGCCTTCCTTCTTCAGATCTAAGGTCCAAATTTGTTCCTTTCCTTCTGAATTCTTTATTTTTAATTCAAATGTGGCTTTGACCTATAATATAAATTTGATTTTTTTTAAATGCCCGAAAATTAGAGTAAATATAATTAATATAAATTTAAAAAAAAATTATAAACCTTTTTAATAGCATCTTCTTTAAGTTTTTCATTAGAAACATTGGTTTTTATCTCGTCAAATATAGCGGCAGATTTAAACCCTTTAATTGACATTTTGCTTTTTTGCTTTTGAAAAAATCTGGGAAAGGAATCTAACGTTAATTTGACGACGACAAACACTTAAAGTTTATGTATCGGAATCGTGTAACTGGTCACAGTCTTGATTTGATTTCACTAACTCTACGTAATCAATGGCGTATTTGCGTATTTATGATATGATTTATAATTTATCGATCAGATAATTTTAGATACGTAGAAATCTTTAGATAACTTGTTAATAGATTTTTTTCTTGGATTACTGGATTATCTTAGAGTACGGAATAACGGGCATAAGCGTTATTTCGAAATCTTATCTTTAAAAATAGCATATCGATATTCAATTTGTAACACCATGTATGTAGTCGAAATAACATATGACAGTCCTCTGGAACAACTTGCAAGATCAACTCGTATTACAGGTGGACGTTATTTTGTATTTGCGGAAATTAAATTAACTAGTTTAAACGAATGATAAGAAAATATTGGCATATAAAACCCATATATGAATAATGAGAAACGAAGCTTTCCACCTATACAGACTAAATCCCCGGTCATTTGGGGGCCGTTATGGAAATAAGCGTTATTCTTCGTTTTCTTTAATCGGTAAAAAAAAATTTCCAAAAGCGCTAGTTATTTCCCGTTTTACTTATGCGCGACCAAAAAGGGGGACGTCTAAAACGAAGTAGATTCTTATATTTTATTGAATTAACTTTAGGGTTAGGGTTATTTTAGATTAAGGTTAGGGCGGGTTTTATATAGTTATATATGCAGAATTGTCTTCTCGGCATTTTAAACTTAACCTACCCAAGGTAGGTTAAACTGCTGTTTTTTAGTTTTTCTCTTTTCTTTGCTTTGCCGGCGATCGTCAAAATTATATAATTCGATTGGTCTAATGTCACGTGATCAAGTTCCGCTTTAGAAGGAGTATCAGTCAGGGAATATCGATTTCACATAATAATATTACACAAAGATTTATACTTACTATATCGATCGTTAAAAGAAAACTTACAAAACCCTCTAATTATTCGACCTTTTTATTTTAATAAACCTTGTTTTACGTGCTTTGTTATGTTTACAAATAGCTTTTTTACTTGGTTTTTTATTTTATTTTTCTTATATATTTAAGATCAAAAAATTAGATTAATTTTAGACTTATTGTCCACATTATTTTCAGAAATAAAAGCTATTCAATTTTTTTTAACGGATCAGGCTAGTATAGGTAGTAAACTTTATGGTTATTTTGAACGAAATTTAGAATTTATTATTAATTTTTGTTAATACAATAGATCGAAGACTTTGCTATACAGTATTTCTATATAGATAGAAATTTATTCAACATAGGAACTAACAAGATTAGGTAAAATTAGATACTCAATCTTTTTTTGCTAATAAATACTGTTTAGCTAAAACATTAACTAATTCTTTAACCCATCTTTCTTTTAAAACTGGTTCCTTAGTTTTGTAAACATCTTTATATAAAATATTATATAACCAAACAAAATCTTTTCTGTAAAAATTAAACATTCATATATAACTTTTGTTATTTATTTCTTGTATATACTTGAAAAGATCATGCTGAGCAGGATTAGGAAAATAAAATACAAAGGTAAGTTCATCAACAAGCTTTTACATAGCTTCAGTATATTTTTTAACTGCTTGATCTCCTGTATTAATTATATTATCTTCTACAAACTTATCATATACTAATAGTATCTTTTATGCTCATCTTGAATCGCTATTATTTTTTGTTTGAGAGTGTTTGGATCTGATAAACCAGAAGTTAAAGTTTGCTTAACAAATTTAACTCTATATTTCTTCAAAGCTTTATGATAAGCTAAATAGTAGTTTTCTTTTGTAATATTTACTAAAGCAACATGCTTGAATAGTTCATATTGCTATGAATTACATGATATTAATTTTAAAAAAGTACAACTAATAATGTATAAATATTTTTACTAGTAGCAAAAAATAGTAACGTGAATGCTACTAAGCTTTTTAATTGCATATTTGCATTACCTAAATGAATACCAATATGATGAGCCTTCCAATACCCAGCTAAATAGTAATACAAAAACTATACTTTTAGAATATTGTTATTTCTTATAAATATAGTTTTTGTATCTAACTATATATTGTTATTGTTTAAATGAAAGCAAATTTCTATTCCTACAACAGTATAAATTAATTCTAATACTCTACAAGTTGCACAGTAATCTACATTTTGCTCTAACTTGTCAAGAAATCAAATACCAAGCTTTGCCACCATACTGTAAATACCATACCCATCACTAAATGCTATAATTAATATACTGCATATAGCTTTTGAAGTATGCCATTGTTCAAGAATAAATCTACAAGTTAAGTTGTTATTTGTATATTTTTTTGTTTTTGCAAAAATAGCTGCATTGCATGCTAAATCAACAATATTTTGTTCAAGATCTTCTAAATTTATATTGATTAATTTAAACATAGCTTCATTGCTATTAGATGCTGGTCTGAGTTTTAATATAACAATATTTGGTAGGTTTACTTGATACCCTGGTTCAATAATAGAAAATATTTTAATATTCATTTCTTCAATTCCAAAATTTTTGTTATACTTATATACTAATTAGTTTATTATTTTATCAAAATTTTCATTCCAATTGGACATAAATATGGATTAATCAAGTAAATTTGGTTAAGATTCTAGATTTACTTGAGCAAAAGATAAGAGATTAAATGAAAGTTCAAATTGAAACACCATTCTTAGAGTGGCATGTGCAGATTGTTACATAATATTATAAATATTTCTATATTTAAAAATGATATTCTTGAAGTCAATGTTATTAATAATAGCAAGATTCCATATATTCAGACCTTTAAGTAATCTTGTCAAAGGATTGGATTTGTTTATATGCTCTTTTTTCAGTCTTGTTTTGTGTTTCTGGGTATAAGATATGATATATACTATACATAATATGGCTTGCAGAGAAGATATTAATTTAGGCTTTTTATATAAAAAAGCTATGGTATAGGTAAGCCATATTTTCTATTGATGAAATGCTATTGTTAAAATAATAGATGCAAGAAATAAAATAATCTTTTTTATTGCAATTATATTAAATTTAGATTTATTTTTTCTATATTGTCTACTTTTCTTTTTTCTTACTTCATATTTT